TGGATATACAGGTCCAGGATGCTAGAACTGCCCTTCAAGTTTCACACACACACACAGTTGTTAGCAATTTACTCAAGGCTAAGTAGTCAAATCAGACAAGCAAAGGAGCATAAATCAGGGCCTTGGAGATAAGGCTTCCCTAAGCAGATTTCACTTTCTACAGAAGAGTAGTCGAGATAGAATCCAAAGTTCAGAGAGCCAAGCAAGGTTCATCAGCCAGTTCAAGAGTCAGAACTTCAGGTTTCTTCCACAAGCAGAAGGCCATGACACACCAGACACAGAAGATCAAATAATTATTTCCAACAAAGAAACATGGGTCAGAGCTGCCTCTCTTATATGGCTGCAGCCAGCTGTTTTTATTTAAGGCAGTCACACCCTTGATTGACAAGAAGACTTACTGTGTTTTTGCTCTGCTCTCCAATTTGCTCGCCAAGGCCTATTTCATTATCTAACTCCACCAGCTGTTCTAATCCTTCCTGTATTTGATCAGCCTCAGGTGATTCCTAGCTTGGTATCTCCTGAGGCTGGCATTCCACTGGTTCAGCTGGAGCAGCTTCTTCAGATTCAGGGTTGTCTAAGTCCTGGACCATGACAAAAACCAAATTGCATTCTTCAAGCTCAGTTTATTTTTTTATTTTTTGTTTTATTTAGAGGCTGCCTGCCTTCCAAATAACTCGGTGGCTTCCACTTCAAAAGTAAGAACAGTAAAATAAAGGAAAAAAGACTCTGGGAATGATTCAACATACAATACTCAGTTTCCAAGAACTCCACAATTGATGGAGCCAATATGTCAGTTTAGGTAGTGTCCCAGCCTGGGTTCTTGACAAAATGAACAGTTGATAAATTCCAAAGAGAGAATGTATTTATCATCTCCTCCTATATTTTCCAATTTGGAAGGAGGGGATGCAAAGAAGAGAATTTTGCCTCTCAAAATACACAGTTCTTCATTCTGGTCTTGCCCATCATTGGAGCAAGTTGCTCACTCAGAATTATTTGTGATGCTGCAGCTACTAGGAATATATTCAGAGAATATATTCAGAAGTGGCTCTGGCAGACAACTCCCTAGTTCACTGAAGTATAATAAGGTAAAGGAGGAACAGCAGAATCAGACTTGCAAGATTCTGTTATTATGGCCTATCATCTCATTGTCCTCATGAGAAACTTGTATTTAGGCCAGGAAGCCACAATATGGATAGAACATGTCAAAACAAACTGCCTTCTGGTTGGCAAAGGTGTGAGACAAGGCTGTATACTCTCCCCTTATTTATTCAATTTATATGCTGAATATATATTAAGGGAGGCTGGAGTGGAAGAGGAGGAATATGGTTTTAAAACTAGAAGAAGAAATATCAATAACCTGTGCTGTGCACTACTCTAATAACTGAAAATCCAAGGATCTGCATGGTCTACTAATAAAAGTCAAGGAACATAGTGAAAAAATGGGATTAAATATAAAGAAGACCAAACTATTGACAATGTATAACAACCAGCCTCAAAATGGGTAATGAAGATATCTAAATGGGAGATAGCTTCTGCCTTATAGATCCATGTTCCTCCTGGTTGGCTAAGGCCTCTCAGGAGGTGACATGTGGTTGGGTAGTTAATTCCTCTTTCAGAAAGGGAGTAGTTCCACCATCTCTTAAGGAGGTGGTAGTCCACCCCCTCCTCAAGAAGCCATAAACTTGGTGGTGCTGGGCAATCTTCATCCAGTTGCTAACCTTTCATTTTTAGGAAAGGTTGCAGAGAAGATGGTTGCACAGCAACATCAAAGAACTCTGGAAGAAGCAGATTATCTGGATCCCTTCAGTCAGAATACAGGCCTAGGTATGGGACCAAGCTAGCATTGATTGCACTCTTGGATGGCCTCTGGCAGGAGTGGGATGGCGGTGGTGTGTCTATCCTTACTCTTCTTAACTTCTCAGTAGTTTTCAATACCATCAATCATGGTATCCTTCTAGATTGGCTTCAGGGGTTAGGGGTGGGCAGTGCTGTGTTGTGCTGGTTCTCTTCTTTCCTCTGGGGCCAGTTCTAGTCAGTGTTGATGGAGAGAGAGGTCCACCCCACAGCCCCTATGTGGGGTGCCACAGGGCTTGGTGTTCTTTCCTGTCCTGTTTAACATCTCCATGAAGCTGCTGGGTGAGCTCATCCATCAGTTCGGGGTAAGGTATCATCAGTATGTGGTTGCTACCAGTTATATACCTGCACCCCAGCCCATGGAGATATATGCCGTGGAGGACCTGTATTGGACCGGAGGCTTTGGCGGTCTGGATGGGGAACAACAGGCTTCAGCTCAACCCTAGTAAGACTGAGTGGCTTTAGATTTTTGGGTCTGTCTGTCTGTCTTTCCTTCTTTTCAGAATATTTCTTTTTTCTTTATTTTATTTTTTTGAAAATCAGGACTGGCCAGTAATTTTTTTAATTATATATATTTATTGATAGATATAACAGCCAGAAGATATGATAAAGTACAACTAAAAATATAGCAGTTCTAATAAAATCAGAAAAAAATACATAGGATAATGAATAAATGAGTAACGTTTGTAGAAACTAAAAGTATATCCATACAATGTTAATATAAAACTAGCTCAATCCATATTATTATTAAATATTTAAATATTTAATATTAAGTATTATTATTAAAGCCATATAGATCATCTATTGCTCCATTTTCTCAATTTCAGAACAATATGTTATTTCGATATATTTATATAATATACTTAAATTCTATTATGTAAGTGCCTTAGAGTATTAAATGTAAATAAGTGAAAAGGAGAAAAAATTGATATTTTATAAATATTAATTACAATTTCAAATGTTAATGTTACAAGCATTATAATTATTTGACTTTCAAAATTAAATATAATGAATATATAATAAAATGAAAAAATGAAGCAAGAGCATACATCAAGGTATTTGTTTTACAATAATAGTCTCGGACTTAAGGTAAATTACTTGCTATTGCTGCATGGTTTGTGTGTGTGTGTGTGTGTACACATATATACACACACACACTTTTTAATTATTATTTTACATTTTTTAAATTATTATTTTACAGAAAAATCTCTTGAAATCCAAAGTAGATTCAGAAAAGATTTCATTTAGTGGAGGATACATACAGCTCTAAGCAAAGCATTGCTAAAACTAAAGGCTGCATAATTTTCCCTCTACTTTTACCCCCGTAGTCCCCCCA